GATACACACCTGGTTTCTTGCCTTTGCACTACAGAGGGTGAGGACATGGTTTTCATTAACTCACTTCTCACTCCATGACACACATCAGCTTTCTTACATGCTCTATCAAGACTTAAACAGATATATGCATGTATATATAATATATTATATAAATATATTCATTTATTTATATGACTTGTGGTCATGTTCATTTATAGGTCCATCTAGCCATTCCAATGAAAAAATTTCTTTTAAGAAAAAAGATTACCTAGAATTGTGATACAAAGGTTTTTTAAAAATATATGTTATGTGCACCCCATTTTCTTAATCTCATTGAAGCTGCCTCTGTTTTATCTGAAGATGTTGACTCCATAGGTATTTTCAAGAGTTGCATGTTTAGTTTTTAAATTCTTTTCATAGATAAAGTGTGGTATTCTCAGCACAAATAATAAGTTAGTTTTTCTTTTAAATGCCTGTGGGGCATCAGTGACAACGGTAGAATATGTAGCTCCAGGTATCCATCTCTCCATAGAAACACACAAAAATTAAACAAAAGTATCAGAACCAACTCTGTTGCAGGTCTGGAAAATAGTCAAAGGTTTACTGCAACCATTAAAATACTGAATCAAGAAAAGGCAACTTAAAGACCATAGAAGAAGTTTTATAGCTTTTTTGTTTGCCTTTGTCCAACTCCCTCCCTCCTGCCCCCAATCTGCTCTGCAGTGGTCTTGAAGAGCATGTCTTCAGTCGATGTTTCCAGTGTAGGACTTTGGTTCCCACTTCCATAGGAAGCAAAGTAGATCTTATTCTAAAAAATAAAAAAAAAAAAGTGTTTTTATATTTTAATTTTTTGGGAACTACATGAAGAACTGAGGCAAAGGCCTAAAACAGCCTTTCTCCTTGGCTTATAGATGACTGTCTTCTCACTATGTCTTTACATAATCTTCCCCTTGTACATGTCTGTGTTCAGATTCCACATCTTACAAGGATATTGGATCAGGGCCCACCCTAGTGACTCCATTTTATCTAAATTACCTGTGCAAAGACTCTGTTTCCAAATATGATTACATTTTAAGGTACTAGGGGTCAGAACTTTAACATAAAACTATTTTCAGGGCAGTGGGGGAGGTGACACAATTAAGCCCATAACACTAATGAGCAACTCACTGAGATACCTGAAGCAAAAGATCACAGTTGAGGCAAAACAACCAACCAACCAACAAACCAAAAAAAAAACCAGACATGACAAAACCTGTGATGAAATGTAGGGAAGAGAAATTATTTGTGAAATTATGGTGTTAAAATGCTCCCAGGCATGCTGGGTATTTGGAAAGCCACGTACAAGCTTTCTGTTTCTTTATCTGAGTGCCGCTCATGTGCGTATCTTCAGTTGTGAAAGGTGACCAAACTGTATAATTTGAATAATTGCATTTTTTGTTTGTGTTTTATACTTCATTAAAATGTTTTAAAATGCCTACTGTATTAATCTCAATAATTTTAAAATGTATTGGCTGTAACTGCTAGTATTGGTTTAAGTACTTGTAAATGTAAAAGGTAAATGTATTTGAAATCTAATTTTTATGTCGAATTAACAAGATTTTCCTACAAATTGGAAGCGGACACTTTAACAGCAGGTGCAGACTCTCAAGTGCCTGCTTTGAAAAACTCAATATTGGCCTTGTTTCCCTTCATTCTAATCTTTTATGATATCCCACAAAATGATCATGTGATCCCACTTACTATTTTCTTTGCCAAAGATGATGTATCTTGGCTTTCTAGATGCTAAACCTGATTATGTCTCAATCTGCCACTCAAAAGCACAGCCTTCAGAGTCTTAATCCAAATTCAAAATTTTAGTAATAATTCCATACTACAGATTGGTGAGTTTAATTTTTCTTTTTTGGAATGTATATTTGTCACAGACATGTAAACTGACTTAGGTTTTCTCGAAACCGCTGTATACATTTTAACTTAAAGCCACCTCATAAAGTACTTTTTATCTGGTTTTTAAACTTGAGTTTATAGATTATAGATAGAGTTTTCTCCACTCAATAAAATAATTTTAATATATTTTTAATATCCTAGTCTAATGGTCTCCAGGGTAATGCTTACTTCCTTTTTAAAGTTATTAATTCAGTTAATCCTCTTGAGACCGTGGCACAGTGTACAAAAAAAGATTATAGTTCTTGCACTCTTAAAGAGTACAAAATAAGTGACTGTGTTTCTCATATAGACTAGAAACATTTCAGAGGAAACAACAAGCCTGAAATTTTCTCTTTTGTCTTATCCTTTCTAGAGTACACATATAATATTGCCAAGAAAAGTATGCTCTAATTTTAACATGGCATAAGCTGGAGAATGTTACCTATTTTTAATTAAAATCATGAGAAGAAATTAGACTGGATAAAATTCTTGTCATGATAAAATCTGTGAACTCACACATCCTGAGTACATGTTGCTGATGCGAATATATTTTGGGATAAGAATGCAAGATGGAAAAATGGGCTACGGTAACTTAAAAAATATGACAAATATGTAGCATTCAGAAATTGCTTCTGTTCTGAAACTAACATCAAAAGATCATTGGGAATGAAGTTGCTACTAAATAAATTAAGGTTTGGAAAAATATTGTCTTTATCTTAATTATATTAACTCTGTTGCATGAGCTAAAAGAATTTGATTCCTTTTAAAGTTATTGGAAAGTGTGGCATGAAGTTATAATTATTATTTTACAAAGCAAGCATTAAGATGACCATTTGAAATTTATACTGAAAGAATGAATTGCAGTATAAGAAATTTTGAATCTTTCACTTTGTAGAAATCTAGTTTTGAACAGATATTCTTCACTGTATGCGATAGAATCTTAGAAATGCATTTTATTGAATGAATGAATTTTTTTATTCCTACAATTTTAATTGCATAGGACTCTAATCTGAGGGTAGTTGTGAATACTGTGAAATGTGACACAGGAAAAGTGGATTTCTCCTGGACTAGAGAAATTTTCTTTCATATATATAAAATGGTCATATTGAATTAAACAGAAACTGAACATTTCATGTAACCTCCAATTTTCTATCCCAAAAGAATCTTTTATGTTACCTGTAACTTGCCAAAACAGCCACATATGCCCCTGGGACTGTAGCAGTAGTTAGTAACATATGACTCCGTTACTATCATCAAGCTAGCATTTTATTATGGGATTAAGAAGCAAACTAATTCTGTTGAGTAGTTTTTAATAGGCTTATTTTTTTTTTAACATTTTGTCATTTAAATTTATGCTAGATAGTATTCATATTAATTCCTTTCTGACTTTAATAGTCTGGTACCTTATGTAATTCATCTTTTGTCAATTGAGGTTATCCTATGTTTTTGTTTTTAAAGTAGGATTTATTAAGAGGACAGAAAAGCTCCCATAGTGGGAGGGAATCCCAGTGGTTGCCCAGAGGTTACCCTATGTTTTTTAATCTTTAATATGACCTATGGCCTTTAATTTAAAAAATTTTTCTAATAAGTGTGGATTACATGTAAATAACCAAGAGATAGACATTGTTAGAAAAATGATCAATGGAAGAGAATGAGAAAATAGAGAAAAAAGCAAAAAAGAAATAAAGAGAATTTGGGACAAAATCTTAGTTATCTTGTAATCACTTATAACCACTGTAAATGTTAGTACATTTGTTTAACACTGGAGCTGGAATATACAAAATGTAATAGAAGTTTCCAATATAATTTAGCATTTGGCACAATATTCGTCTTAGGGAAAGAACTGTTATTTTAAATTTTTTGGTGATAGACTTTTCATGTGATGAACATTAAGACCTAGGTGTGGTCTGGAAAAAGATAGAAAAACAAGAAAAAAAGTGAAAAAGTTAATGTAATTTTGAATTCTTATGTGTTGAACTAGAAAGTAAAAGGAGGGGAGTATCTGAATAAGACACAGAATAAAAGAGACTACCCTGTCAACAGGGAGAAACATGCTCAGCAGCAGCATGGATGAAAACTACCAGGGATGTCCAGCTAACATTTTATTTTGAAATAATTTCTTTTGTAAGATCCTTCTTGGTCACTGCAAATATTCTGTAAACACAACGTACAAACAATACAAGCACATGCCTGAGGATATGCTTTATATTGGCTTGGATATATACCAGAGAAAAGAGAACAGCTAGGGTTAATGGGTTAAAAATAAATTCAAGTCTTCAGGAAAAGTAGGAAAGCAGAACCAACAAGGTTATGAGTTTTCAGAAGTTTGGTGATGATATTGAATTCCCATTGTATATGGACTAGAGGTATTTAAGTCAACTTTATGTTAATTTTAAAAGACAGAATCCTCAGCTGAAATTGGACAAAGAATAGCAAAGCCTATGATAAAGACTAACACAGAGGAAAATTTTATTGAGGTCATCAGATGGTATAAAGCAATTGAAAGTAGCTTGGGTGCTGTGACTCATACCTATAATCCCAACACTTTGGGAAGCCAAGGCAGGAGAAATGCTTGAGCCCAGGAGTCTGAGACCAACCTATGCAAAATAGCAAGAGGTCGTCATCTCTACAAAAAAATAAAAAAAGTAGCATGGCATGGTGGCAAGTACCTATAGTCTCAGCTACTTGGAGACTGAGGCGGAAGGACTGTCTAGAGGTTGAGGCTACGGTTAACCATGATTGTGCCACTGCACTCCAGCCTGGACATCGGAATGAAAGTCCAGCTCAAAATATTAAACAAATACTTTGGAAAACAATTCAAATGCAGAAGATAAAAGTTAAGATATTATAGCTCTTGTGTTTATTTGCTTTTACACTTGGAGGACCTTATCAATGCAATATGTTTTCCTCTTGGATTGCTTGAATTGATGACCTCTGAGAAAAGAAAAGAAAAGAAAAAAACAAGCAAGCAAACTCAGAGTTGCATTTAGTTAGCAAAACTTTGAGTAAAAATTGCAAGAGCAAATTTTTGTAGGCTGCTGTTAAAGGAGGTTGGGTATGGGCAGCAGTGTGTTCATGGAGGATCTTTGAAACACATGCAGACTTTTCCCCTGCATTTCTAATTTTTTTCTTCCTATTTTTTTAAAAAATAGGTGTCAACTATGAGGAACTATACAACAGTGACAACGTTTATTCTTCTTGGACTGACAGATGATCCACAATTACAGGTGGTTATTTTTCTTCTCCTTTTTTTCATCTATCTGTTGAGTGTCACTGGGAATCTAACTATCATCACCCTCACCCTACTCGATTCACATCTCAAAACACCCATGTATTTCTTCCTCCGGAATTTCTCATTTTTAGAAGTCTCGTTCACCACTGTCTGTATTCCCAAGTTTCTTGTTAGTATGGCAACAGGGGATAAGTCCATCTCTTACAACAATTGTGCAGCACAGCTATTTTTTACTATTTTCTTGGGAGCAACCGAATTTTTTCTCCTGGCTGTCATGTCCTATGACCGCTATGTGGCCATCTGCAAACCCCTGCATTACACCACCATCATGAGCGGTAGAATCTGCACCTTGCTGGTTTTTGCCTCATGGTTGACTGGTTTCCTAATAATTTTCCCACCACTTCTCATGGGTCTCCAGCTTGATTTCTGTGCAGACAGCGCTGTAAATCATTTCTTCTGCGATGTTTTTCCTCTCCTGGAGCTCTCTTGCACAGACACAGGCATAATAGAATTAGTAGCACTATTTTCAGCCATTTTGACACTCCTGATTACGCTGGTATTAGTGATTCTGTCTTACACAAACATCATCAGGACTATTCTGAAAATACCTTCTTCTCAACAGAGGAAAAAAGCATTTTTTACATGTTCTTCCCACATGGTGGTTGTGTCTATTTCATACAGTAGCTGCATCTTTATGTATGTGAAACCCTCTGCAAAGGAAAGAGTGTCTTTAAATAAAGGGATAGCACTACTCAGTACTTCTGTTGCTCCCATGTTGAATCCCTTCATTTATACGCTGAGAAACAAACAAGTAAAAGATGCTTTGAAGCACATCACCCAAAAGATTGTTTTCTCAATGAAGTGAATCACTTTAATGATATGACTAAGATTATACTAAAATAAGATAAGAGGAGTGGAGGTGAATTCAGAGCCCTTCAATACCTGCATTAAAAATAATATTCCCTTTTTTGACTTACAGTTTTCATGGGGGCCTGCCTAATCTCCAAAGCCTAAACCTCACCCACTTTTTCCTTATGGCAAGAGCACGTAGCAAAGATACATCTTGCTCTTGGTCAAAACATTTAACTGTTATTTGGTGCCTCTTTTGATTTCTTCTCAAAATCCTCTCAGAGGTAGACAAAGTGGGACCTCAGTTTTTCTGTGTTCCTTTCCCCTATTCTGGAACTCAGGGATTCAATTTATCATATATTCTATATAGAGTTTAATACACTCCCCAGATTGTGAATGTGAAATCTGATTTTTTACTTAGTGTTTAGCAGAACCTCTAAGCAAATAAATTTAATGGCATTTCCTTAATTGCACAGTTTAATAGCTTCAGATGTTTAACCAAGCTTAAATAAGCTTTCAGAAATAGATTAAAGATACTTCAGCGAGCTTAAGGCATACTGTCATTAAGTTATCAGAAATTATAGGCAGCATTTATTGATTGCTTGTAATGTACTAGGTTTGTGAAATGTATTAATTTCATCCTCAAAATTCTGTAAGATGGTTACTGCCATGCTCAAATATGCATAAAAATATAAGGTGTATGGAGTTTAATAACTTGCTGATGACAAAAAATAAAAACAAAACTTGAATGATGACAAAGAATGCTGCCTTAATGTCCATTTACCTTTCATGCTTTGCAGGAAAATAAACTCAGAATCACTCCTTGCTTCTATGCCACTTAGGTTGCAAAAGAACAATGCGATTTTTTTTTTTTTTTGGAGTTGGAGTCTCACTCTGTCACCCAGACTGGAGTGCAGTGGCCGCTCCTGGTCACCGCAGCCTCGACCTGCTGGGCTCTGGCGATCCTTCCGCCTCAGCCTTCCAAGTAGGTGGAACAACAGGCGCGTGCTACCATGCCCAGCTAATTTTTTTATCTGTTGTGGAAATGAGGTCTCGCCAAGTTGCCCAGGCGAGTCTCGAACCCGCGGGCTCAGGCAATCCACTCACCTCAGCCTCCAAAAGCGTGGGATTACAGGATGAGCCACCGAGCCTGGCTACAATGTGATTTTTAAAGAGAATTCTACAGCTTTAAAATTCTATACATTTAAAATTAAACAGATAAAATTAAGGCCTATGAGATCTATAGAGTACCTTATTTTTCCAATTAAGTGATTTGAACATTTAAACTGGATACAATGACTGATCATGTGCAAAACAGAGTATTTTGAAATTTTTCGTTTGAATGATTTTATATTTCAGTGTGTCAAAAAGAAAGAACGTTCTCTAAATGATTACTGCAAATTTCCTTAATGAATATTTGTCTATGACTTGTTTCCAAATAAGGTAATTTACGACATTATGGGTAATTTCTGACTGGCAGGATTTTTTTTTAACTTAATCAATTGCTACATGAATTTTATTGGAATATATTTCAGAGTAAATATAACTTTTTCAGACCTCCAGTTCAGTAAAACATGGAATATGAACTTTATTCTCATTAGTGACAAACTTGAAATCTATACATGTAGATAAATATTAACTGAGGCACTGAGAAGAAGTTGAGAAGATTCAAATAGACATTTCAAATAAAGGTTGTATATGTGTAACTGATTTCCATAAAACTGCAATACTTTAAGGACATTTTATGTGACAATAGAAAATGGCATATCAAAGAAGTGTTCTTCAACTTTCTCTTTGTCTTTCTTTGCATCAGAAAAGTTTACATACTCAACTAATTCCACTTTATAAATAATAATAATTGCACTCAAGAAAAGTTGACTCAAACTGTTTGAAATCTGAAAAAAAATTCTGATTCCAGACTATCTCATATTTTATTGTGAACATTTTTCTCTACATCCTAAGTTATTGCCAAATGCAATTATGTGACACATTTTTTTTTAATATAGTGGCGGCCAAAAATTGTATACACTTTTTTTTTTAAAGAAAGCGGATTTATTGAGAAGACAGAAAAACTCCCACAGCGGGAGGAGACCCAAAGAGGTTGCCCTGTATACACATTTTAAGAGATGTTATCTATGTATTACTTTTTGAAATTGAGTTAAATTATGGTAGCAATGTGTAGTATGATGTTCGCTCAACCATACTTTTCCCATTTTCTTTAACTGCCCTGCCTGTTGCATCGTGACGCTAACATTTATTTGATTAATGCTATTTTTTTTTTTTTGAGTTGGAGTCTCACTCTGTCGCCCAGACTGGAGTGCAGTGGCCACTCCCGGCCACCGCAGCCTCAACCTGCTGGGCTCCGGCGATCCTTCCGCCTCAGCCTTCCAAGTAGCCGGAATTACAGGTGTGCGCTACCATGCCCGGTTGATTTTTTTTGATTTATTGTAGAGATGAGGTCTCGCTGCCCAGGCGGGTCTCGAACCTGCGGGCTCAGGCAATCCACTCACCTCAGCCTCCCAAAGGCGCGGGATTACAGGATGAGCCAACGAGCCCGGCTGATTAATGCTATTTTTTGAGTGAATGTCATACTTAAAATGAGTCTACATATTTTTGGCACCCCCTGTATTTCTAAATATTGCACTATGTATTTATTATAGTATTTGTGATACTTGTTTTTTTATATATGAACTCTAAGTCTAGTTAATTCTTTTTAAAGTCTGATATGTGGGTGAATCCATATGTCATTTAATATTAGATCAAAGAATATAACTTCTCTTTTCCTTTATATTTAAAATGAATTATTGATAACTTTGTAAAAATTGAGAAATATATTTAAGAGAATTAACTACTTAGAATGCATAGAAAATTTTTTCTTCTATTTCTAGGCTGTTTGTTAGTACATAATGAGAAATAAAAAAGAGAAGAAACTATCCCTAAGCTATGATGGGAAATAATTAGTGTAGGTAATTTTTTGCTTAATTCAAAATAAGCCATTAGTCATCTGGTTTATGATATAAATGCTAATGAACAGGTTGTATTATAAGAACTTACAATTTTAAAATTTTGCTCAACTTTTAAAAATTGTTATTTCCTTTTGTGCACAGATATATCAAATTCCTGTTCTTTTTTTCTCTGGAATCGAAAGAGAAAATAAAACTATCAATCTCTTTTTCATTACTGTATACTGAATAAAGATTAAAACAAACTATACTCGAAGTATATCAATTGTCTCCTAAATGAATGATTTCCTTTCTTTGCTAGCTCATCCTCCATATTGCTGTCAGAAAATTTTCAAAAATATAGATTATGCCACCACTCTACTAAGAAATTTTTTATGCCTATTACCTGCAAAATGATACCTAAACTCCTCAAATATTTTTATAACCTCGGTTTTCTAGTGTAGTTTATCTCGTCCAGCTAGTAGTCCTGTGACTCAACCACACTAAACAATTAAGCGTATGTTCTCACATGTGTAGAATGCCTGCCCCTTGCCCAAATCTTTGCTAGAAACTTGCCCAAATCTTTTGCAAAATTTCAATCATCAGTTAAAGTTAATTAGCATTGAACCTCTTGTGGAAGACTCTGATTGACAAGTATATATTGGTCACTCCATATGCAAACTTTCAATGTGTTTGTAATCAACACTGAATGGGGCTTATCATATCACACGCAATTAACTATGCTTGTTTCTAGCAATGGAGTCAAAGTCTTACAGATTTTTTCATTCTCCTTGTCTAACTTAGTGCCAAAAGGAAATAAATAAATAAATAAATAAATAAATAAATAAGTGAGGTTAATATGCTCACCAATAAAATAAGATTCAAATACAATATTTAATGGGGATAAATAGAAAAATTTGAGGTTAAGTTTAGAATGTCTATTATAGAGTAATTAATGTGGCCGGGATTGGTGTCTCAGCCTGTAATCCCAGCCCTTTGGGAGGCCTAGGCGAGTAGATTGTCTGAGCCCATGGGTTCGAGACCAGTCGGGGCAAGACCTTGTCTCTACAATAAATAAAAAATTAGTGAGTGTGGTAGCACATGCCTGCAGTTCTGGCTACTTGGAAGGCTGAGGGGAAAGGATCACCAGAGCCCAGCAGGTTGACGCTGAGGTGGCCATCAGTGTGCCACTGCACTCCAGCTTGTGCGACAGAGTGAGACTCCAACTCAAAAAAAAAAAAAAGAATAAATAATGCATTCGACTTGATAGCAAGTAATATGAAAATATGTTTAGGTGTTAGAGAACTACAAGTTTTTTTTATGAAGTATTTGTGAGCACTGAGGAGAGATAAGTAAATTTTATGGTGTAATAAAGTCCCATTATATCATATCTCAAAAATTCTGTTTAGTTCTGTTCCACACTTTGAAATGAGCATTTGAAAACCTTTTGAAGTCAAAGGGAAATAACCAGAATCATCATAAATATAGAAACTTTTCATATAAGAAAATATTTAGAGTAGTAATGATATCGAGCTTTAGAAAAGTTGCTTTTAGAAACGAATGCTGTCTTCAAATATTAAGATAACTATGAAATAAAAAATTCTGAAATTGTTTCTCTTTTTATAAGTATAGGTCTTCAATTGGTGTTTTGCAAACATTCTATCAGTAAAAAGATACATATTTTCACAATATAAGTACATTCATTTTAGTTTGTAAATTACTGAATGTAGTATAAAGTATTTTGAAGTTTTAAATAAAACATAAAAATTAAGGAAGGAAACGATGCAAAAGAAGCAAAATACTTTATAAAATAAATTTCAAGTATAACTTAATTTTATTAATGATACAGTTATTAGTTTCATTTTAATGAAATATACTTTATTATATTTGCAAATATTGATTCAATTGTTATGACAAATGATCTGAAAGTCTTACTTCAAATTTATTTTACCTAGTATTTAGTTAGAAGGAATGTCATAGGGCAAAATTAATGTTTCACAAAAACATGTGGATCCACCTTAAAGGAAGTGGAAATCACAATAATTATTCTTCAATTCCATTCACGTATACTTTAAAAATTGAGTTACCACATTCTTGTCTTTTCCAATGTTAATCAGTTGTCTTAATTTTGTATTTTATATAA